CCATAATTGTCTTGAAATACACCAATCTTGAATATTTCCTGCACACAAAAAACAAATATTAAATTCATAACCTTCAAGAAAATTGGGCAAAACTTATGATCCAGTATGTTTTATTATTCATTAAAAAAATCAGTGTTTATTTTCATTGTAACCTTTTTGTTTTTATGATATAAAGTCTATGGTTGAACAAGGATGGTATGATTGGTGGGAATATAAGGGTAAATTATTTTTTATCAATTTTTAATCAATGATCCAAATACAAGAATAACATCAATTATATGGTTTGTCATGGGATTTTTAAAAAGGATTTTTTGGATCGAACAGTATGGACGAAAATCATGGAAAATCCACAAAAAACTTTACGATGCTTGCACCACCACCCAATATTACAGGGAATTTACATATTGGGCATGCTTTGACACTTAGCATCCAGGTCTGTTCTTACATATGGGAATGATAATGAAGACAACTTTTGATTAATTTATATGAAATATACGACGTCTTGCCTTTCAGGATGCAATTGCTAGATGGTATCGAATGTCTGGTCATCGGGTATCATGGATACCCGGAACGGATCATGCTGGTATTGGAACACAATCAGTTGTTGAACGGCAACTTTATAAAAAAAAAAATGTATTTTAACTTCCAAATGCAGCGTATATTTTTTCAATTAATTGCAGGAATAAATTCTTTCTTAATTTCTGATATAGCTTACTCGACATGATCTTGGTCGCGAAAATTTTATCAATGAAGTGTGGAAATGGCGTGAACTTCATGGGAATCGAATCATCGAGCAAATGGTGAAGCTTCCTCTTCTGAATCTATGCCGTGGCTGTTGTTAAATACAGTTTCCTCAAATTTTAAAACTCAATCAATTTATATATAAGAGACGTTTAGGTGCATCATTAGATTGGAAAAATCTATTTTTCACTATGGATTCTCCTCGGTCGCGTGCCGTGACGAATGCGTTTGTCAAGCTTTTCAATGATGGAATGATTTACAGAGATACAAGGCTCGTTAACTGGTGTTGTGCTTTGGGAACCGCGATTTCAGATATCGAAGTAGGTAAAATATCTTAATTTTAATTATAGTTTAGGATCTGACGATAATTATTCAAAGGTAGATTATGAAGTTGTACCAAAACAAACATTCTTGAAGATTCCTGGTCATCAAGAAAGGTATTATTCTTTAAAAGTGCCCAAATTATTTGATATTTGCTATATTGACTTTATTTTCAATCAGTGTCGAATTTGGCGTTTTACACAAATTTGCTTATCCGATTGCTGATACATCAAGCGGCATTTCAGAATTAGTCGTAGCAACAACCAGAATTGAAACAATGTTAGGAGATTGTGCTGTGGCGATACATCCTGATGATACACGATACAAGGTTAATTTCGTTAAAATAACATTTAATGTGACGGATTAAAATGAAATTGTGTATGACATGAAATAGACAGGCCACCGAAAAATATAAGTTTTGGGGTGCGTTTTTTTGGCTTTTTTAGTGTTAAAGGTCAGCTTTAGGGGTAGAATTTATAATAAACAAGTATAAGTGGATTTTGGGAGGCTAAATAAAAACTTCAAATTTCATTTTAATTCGATTTCATTATGATCCGCGACATTTAATAATGTTAACAGCCTAAATTAATTTTTTAGTCACTACATGGTAAAGAAGTTATTCATCCTTTACTAAATAAGCGGATGCCAATCATATGTGACGCTGAACTAGTAGATATGCAGTTTGCAACCGGAATTGTTAAGGTATATTTCTTTGTGATAAGTTTTAATTAAGGATGAGCATAACTCAAGTAGAGAGCCTAATCGACGTATTGAGTTAATAATTTGAATCTACCTGAGCCGAGTCTAGTCGAGTAATGTGGAACAAATGCGCAAATAGAAACTTAACGTCCATGACTCAATGTGAGTCGACTTGGCTCAAGAGTGCGGGTTGGGCCACTAGCTGACCTACGGCTTGCTGAATCTTGACCATCTCTAGTTTTCATCGTTTTTAATACATAGATTATGTATATTATCACATTATTTTTTAGGTGACACCTGGACATGACATCAATGATTATGCTTGTGCTCGAAGACACCAATTGCCAATAATAAATATTTTGAACAAAGATGGAACATTGAATGAAAATTGTGGGATTGCAGATTTAATTGTATGTCAAAGATTCGCATCTTTATGAGAGCTCTAATTTTACTATTTAAACTTCTAAACTATTCATCTGAAAAAAGAATAAGGATCGATTTGAAGTTCGCAAGGATATCATAAATCAACTCCAATCATTAGGCTATTATCGTGACAAGGATGTAAATCATGAAATGAGAATTGCTAAATGCTCAAGATCTGGTGATATTATTGAGCCTTTACTGCAACCTCAGTGGTATATATGTCTTCTATATATTAAAGATTATTAGTAAGTTTCTTAATCATATTTTTATTTTAAAAAGGTATATAAAGTGCAAAGATATGCAACTTAGAGCCTTACAAGACGTCAAAGACGGAAAAATGCAGATCCAACCTAGTTACCACGTTGAAGATTGGAATCGTTGGTTAGGTGATTGTTTCTCACAAAATGTGATTACCTTGTATAATTGAAGGTTATGAATTTAATATTTGTTTTTTGTGTGCAGGAAATATTCAAGATTGGTGTATTTCAAGACAATTATGG